TTAAGAAAGTTTGAAAATTAATTACTGTTTTCTTGACTTTTTTAAAACAGTTTTTGTAGTTGCTCACAATTTTCACACAGCCAAAGAAAGTTGTAGTTTTGACAACTAATTCAGGAATATGAGGTTTTATTTTGGTTTCATTTAATTTCCCCTAGCTTAAGTATTTTCATAATCTTGGACCTTCAGATAGCTATAAAAAAATAATGCATGTCAAGGGGACATTCTTGTCCCTCTGATACATATAGTTTTGCATTTATCATAGTTTCAAAGAAATTTTTCAAGCCATTTTCATCATAAAACCATACATTGTAACAGATTGGTAAGAGCAATTCAACTTAATTTTCGGACCTTGACCTTCCGTATGACCTGTAACTTCATTTTTCAAGATATTATAATCAAACGTCTGTACTAAGATACATATTGGAAAGAGCAATTCACCTAAATTCTCTTTTGACCGTGAACTTAAAAAAAACCCATTCAAGTTTACTTTTGAAGATTTTTTTAATTAAACTTCTTAGAAAGATACCTATTGGTGAAAGCAATTCAACTGTAATATTATTTTGTTATCTTGACTTTTCCTATTACTTATAGAATTTCACCTTTTCCTCATTTTGCTCTTTGTCCATCAGACCCCAGGATCAAAAAGCAGTTTTAGACATAAGTCAGAATTTTAACATTGTCTTAATTTTTTATTATAGAAAAACATAAATTTTGAAACGTAATTGTTTCCTATTTATGTTGTTAATTCTAATTTAAAAGAATTTATTAATATTCATTTTTATGAGTTACTGAAATTTTGACGTAAGTCTAAGAGTGCCTCATAATCATGAGGATTACTTCATAGATAAATGTCTACATTTCAGCCACTCAAGAGATCATATTTTACTACATTTGAGAGGTTGAACGCTGTGATACTTCAGCTAGCTGTTTATTAGATAGAGTGAATCAACACTACATACCATGCAACAAAAGAAAACAAATATACTAAGGGTATGAAAAAAATGAAAATTATTTTTTCTTTCATCACAGTTTACGTTTAACTCTGACTGAAGAAGCAAGATGCATTTCTTTTTGTTTGCATTACAAGTTACTTGGGATGATGCATTCATATCCTATGGAAATATTTCTAGTTTTCTTAAGATCTGACATGATAAAATCCGAAGACCTCGGCATACAAAAAAATCATCTCATGTGTGATGATATTCCTATGCCTCAATATAAAATGTCAAGGCTATTTGTCCTGACGCCAGACTCTAGACAGTTTGGTATTACATTACACTACAACTACACATACGTAATTATCATAGGGAGAATTGGCAATGTAATGAGTACCCATTGCCGTCTTGAAGTTTTACCAAAGGTCACTAGAATAAGTTCAAGGTTAAACCACAAAAAGTCTTGGAATATTATTTTATAGATAAGACTTAAGACTTGGAGAAGTTCCTGCATGTCATACGAAGCATGTTATAAATACATGTTTTTAAGAAAGTTAGTTCGAACCCTTCTTAAATGTGGTGTTAATTATTAGTGCAATTAAAAAAAGAAGATAAAAATGCAGGTTTATCTGAATTCATACATTGTATATAATATATACATGTACCTTAACAACTTTATCTTTTTTTAAACTAAAAAAAAGGCAGAGAAATATTTGGTAGGCCAATGTTCTTTCACTATAATCTCAGTCACATACAAGAGTCGTTTATCGTCTAAATAAGAAAAAAAAATAATAAAACACCACAAAGCAAGGGAACTTGGAACCTGCAAAATGCTAAGATGACACCAATCTATGAAATTTACTTCTTAATTGAAAAAAGACTGCAACTGACGCGCATAATGCACATTAAGAGACAATGCTCCGAGCAGTAATTTTTCTGCATGGTAGGTCTCCGCCTAAATTAAGACAATCTGAATATTCAGTCAAGTTTATTCTAAGATTTCTAGCTAAATCGGTACCTGAGAGTTCGTTTCTATGATTACATTACATAATACATTACTCGACTGACACAATAAAAAAAGGGTAAGCAGTTTTGTATGTTCTGGTATCGCAATTTTTGTCAATGCATGTTTATTGGTTAATCAAATAATCCTTTCCTATTGCGTTAGAACGTCTTCCGTTCATGTGACCTGCATCGTTTGTCGCTCGCATGCGTCCGACGTTCTTTCGTTGTGTGTGCCAACTCCAAACATTTTAAAACTTCTTTTTTAAATAGATAATTGAATTAATTTATTTTTTTTGTATCAAGCATAATTTGTTACTATTAGAAAAATAAATTTCAAGCTCCAAGCCTTTGATGAGGAATTAAAAAAAATCCTAAGGATACAAATTCCAATTTTTTTATTTATTACATTTATATGTAATAATGTAGCTCTACAAAAATGATGAATTTGTATCCCTTGAGTATTGAGATTGATGTGTTAGGATGATCGAATAAAGTTTATCTGCATTCTAAATGTTTTAACATATTGCTTATGCCCTTTCTACAAGTCAAATTTGTACATCACTTTATGTAAGTTAAACATCGATCTTACTGTGCTTTACTACATTTAGAAATGGAAAATCAAAATTTGTGCATGACAATTTTCAAAAATTCAAAATTTTGTAAATGGCAATTTCGAATTACCGAATTCGAAATTTGTACAGTATAATTTTGAATAACAAAATTCAAAACTTTGTAAATGACAATTTTGAATTACCAAATTCAAAATTTAATTATAATTTTGAATTATCAAATTCAAAATTTATACACGAACGTTTGAATCACCAATTAAAAAAATCGAATTACCAAATTAAAAATTTGTTCATGACACTACTCCAGATTTTGTAAAATGCATACTCCTAGGGCGTTTGATCGAGATTCTAGACCAAGACTTTGTTTATCATCTTTTTATAATGCATAATTATTACCTGTACCCTTATGTTTAGGAAAACGGCATAATTTATTTTGAAACAAAAAGAGCAAAGTATACAAATAACTTTTAAAAAGATATAAGGAACGCTTCTTCCTTTATATGTTGAAAGCGCATGTACACTTTTATAAATTTTATCTGAGTATCTTACATCTTGCTAATATACATTAATAAGATGTGCGTTATTTTAATGATTTTGAATTGAATTCATATTTCTATTTCAAAGATCCGTACTTGGCTATTAATCTACGTGTATTTTGTTTTGCTGGTATGTAACGTAAATTCCGACAAAATTCTTCCAATCCAAAATATGCATGATGGAGATGAGATCATGATGAACGCCCATGACTTATATTATTACGTCGGCGTGTGTGACGATCATGCATGTACCTTTCAATTACACAAACACTGATTACAAATGTATAGATTTTCAACGATTATTTGATTGAATAATTTTCTTGTTAAGCCGGATGCGCAGGGAGATTTTACCGGTTTGATCCTGATTGAACATGCAATGGCAGCTACCGAGTAAACAACGCGCTAACAAGATGAAGCGAAAGAACACTTGCAACTCTATCTTACACAATAAAATAGGTTCCTGCAGATTGCGGCCACGTGTGTAGGGGGGAAGATGATCTTGATCCTAAACAAACATCTAGATAAATGATAAAATCGTAAATATAGACTCACTGTGTGGAGCTAACGATTTGAGATTTTCCCTAAGCTTTCTTCGAAAATACTGAAGAGGAAGACTTAATGTAAAACACTCAGTCTGGGCACGAAGTATTCCACTTAATATTAGATACAATTAAAGTAAATATGTTTGATACATTACTTTTTTCTCCCTTTTATGATTTTTTATTAAAAAAATTACTCAAAAAACAAACAAACAAAACAAAACAAAAAACAAAAAACCCAAACCATTGCCGGGGTAACAGAACTTCTTGAAATTTTAAAATATTTTCATATTTTGCTTTTTCAAATTATTATCACTTGATATTAACAATGTTCATTAGAATCATAGATGAAGGAATATTTAGAATTCATTAGCAGTGTGATTGTCAGACATCCAAAAAAGTGTAAAATTTATTAGTCTGCTTACTTTATGCTCAGTGCTATAGAAGAAAATTAAACAGAAACGATTGCATAATCATAAAAAACAGATTTCTGTAAGTATAAGAATAAAATAAAAAATGATCAGATATATTATATATGTTAATTGTCTCTGAATTTAGAGACGAATTCTACATTTTAAAGAGCTTTTTCAGTTTAACAGCGCCAGTTGTTTATTTTATGTGTACCGCTTTTTGCCGATTTTTGATTGCGTTTCCAGATTCAAATAGATAGTGTTCCTTCTGATGGAGGTCATGAGCCCCATTTCCAATCACTGCGAGAACTGCACTCTTCGGCGGTTTAAGAAAACATATTTCTATTTATCTGTGTATGTCATCGTCTGTTCATTTACTGTAAATGTCAAAAAGTAAAGAATTGACAAAGTCTGGCTGCTGTTCAAAAGTGTACATGTGCACATAACTCAAGTATATTTGAATATTAAATGTACAGAAGAAATTTAATAGTCCATGAATCACATGTAACACCCGCAGATGGATTTGATCACTACTCTCTTTCTTGAGAAATAATTATTATAGGATAAATTCATAATTTTATGATCATACATTATACATATTTAAGGGGTTTGATCAGACATTCTTGCACAGTCATTTAACAGTAAATCGGCAAGATATCCTGGTATTGTCAGGGCATATTGAACGACCACGTAGTGCGAGGAAGAATGTTGCCAGTTCGGTCTTTAGCATGATTACTTACATCAAATTTGCTTGCCATGAGAGCATCTAAGAACTCCAGGAAGTTCGAAAACCATCAACCAATCAGCTTCAATGTTACATTCTAGGAAACCGCAATGGCTTCCATTAGTTTGGAATCGGAGGTAAACGTTGCTAAGGAGTACCGCCTATTTTACATCACATGTTCACAAGCTTTGCTCATATATGGATAAAGCATGTCGCAATCTGAAACTCGATCGTTTCGTGTACCAGAACGTTAGCTTAGAAGTGGCTCCCCCTTTTCTCCTCTCTATTTAGGTATTCTGTCCGTACGAAACTCGCTGCTCAGCAATTGTTAACGGTGCTGTAAGTCGGGAAGGCAGTAGGAGGGAGTTGTTGTGCATCCTCTGTCACTTTACCTCCATTTTATCATCTGCTGTGAAGGGAGATAGGCCTTGGTGCACGGGAAGACTCTGTTTTTGTGAATTAGTTAATAGTTAGAGTAAAAAAAAACATTCAAAAATGGCTGACCGTATGAAACCCATGGGTATGGATCGTGCACTTTCGAGCAAGGTTTGTATTTTTTGTGTTTTTGTGTTTATTTGATCATTTTCAGGATTTGAATGTGAAGAATTGTAATTATGCTTTTCTAACATAAGTAATGCAAAAGGAATGGATGTAATTATATTTGAGGATTTTATGTATGGGTTTATGTTTCTTTTATATGAGTTGTGTGACATTTCTATGTAAGTATATCGTATACAGGACAATAAAACATTAAGTCTTATCTAAATAATTTTTTGAAAGAACAGTATGAAATATCGGTAATATTGTGTTACATCTTGGATAGAAAAACAATATTAATGTGAGTTCCTGTGTAATTGACATCTATCAGCACCAAGCTCAGCAGATTCAGAGGCAATGAAACTTGATCCGACTTGCTCTCTTATGGCTCGCTGAAAGAGAAAAGAGTTTTGTTGGAATGTTTCTAAAAATAAACTGGAAAGGAATTCTTTTGCGCTGCGTGAATACGTTTATGATTTAAAAAATCTAGTATTCCAGGAATCTGACTATATAAGCTTTTATATAAGCTTTAAATTTCCATTTCAAAATAACAAATAGTACTTGGTGAATTACTTAGATTATTTCAGACTTTGAATTCACACCCTCTTATATGCTGACTCATCAACATTCGATGAAGAACATTCAACTGATGAGTTGGTAAGAAATTTTGCTGACTTTGATGTAGAAACCCGGAAATAAACAACAATCCCAATAACTCGCGGAATGTGAATGGCGTCCTCCCACTGTTTGACAGCCACGCGCCACCGTCACGTGGGTATCAGCTAGTCCACGTGCAAACTGTCACGTGGGTCAGGACACCAGACGAATGAAATTTTTGTTCAAATTATTGCTTCAGTCTAGCCTAAACTTTTCATTAAAGCCAAATTTTTGTCAGACACATTTATCAGAGAGGCTTAGAAACGATGCATGTTTATTTAGTTTTTGTGGTCAAAGGATAATCAAGATAGGCTTGCATTACAACATGCGGTGTGTGATGAAATGAAGGATGGTGCTTATGTCAGCTTACAGTGTGCTTTTAAAGTCATGAATGTTGTTTGTTGTCATTTTAACCGCATTAATTTCGAGAATATGTAGCTTGTGAACTTTATGTAAAATATATATAATTTTAATTCTCAGGTGTATTTTCACACTACAGGCCGAATTAAAAGCCGAAATAAAATGGAAATTGACAATTAAGAAGGCGGTAGGTAATGGAATTGACCTCCTGACACACGTAGATACAAACCCATTTGATCCAACACAACATAATCTAAAGTCAGGCCACTTCTTTAGTTTTACCTTTTCCTACTTGTACCATATCACCTGCACTTGGAGAAGTCAAAGCGGAATTGGAATTTCTTTATTAATATATTCTTATAACTTTCGGGAAAAAATTTATTTAAGTATTCATCAGAACATAACATAGAAATAAAATATTCGCTTCATGTTCACGTCATTGTTCGTGGTAATTACCTTAATTCTGCTTTTTTGCGCACTTCTTTACCAATAGCTGATGCAGATATCGTTTCAGCAGCTTTTCAAAATTATTTTTGCATGATATTTCATGGTATTTTTTTCCAGAAAAAAGCATGCGTCAATATTTGTTTATTTTCTTTTTGTCACTTGTGCGTGTTTTCACATTCAGGAAACAGGTGGCGCTTCCTCAAGCACCGATAGCACAGGTCGACTCAAACACACCTCAATGCGGCGAACTTTATCGAGAACAGGCTCACTACATCAAGACAAACGGGTATACAGGGCATGCGCAGATTACAGATATCTACAATTTAGAATTATATATCAATTCCAAAAAATATTTATCTGGCATGCTGTACAAAATATGTTCAGGGAGCATAGAAATATTGTCCAATATGCGTAAATACGGTAGCGACCTCATCATAGCGGCATGCTTACTTATAGCGAATATAAGTCATTGTATAGCGCTTGCCAAATCATTAGTAACTTCTGTAGACACAGATTTCAGGTACTTAACACTAAAAGTCAAATGTAATTGTATTTCGGCAAAAGGTCAAAACTTGCAATAAAAAAGAAATTCAGCTAAACTTTTGACTTAATGTTCGGAGCTAGCACAAGAAAGCACATCATCATATGCTAGACAGGATTAATGTGTTGAATCACATATCTGATAAAAGAAGATTTACTTTGAAACACCCATCTGCTGAGAAAACAAGATAACATTCTGCAAAAAAAAAATCTTCAGTTTCCTTGTCGCAATTACAAGAAGCTTATGTTTTGGATTCATTGTAAGGAAGAATTGGTTTTCATTAGTCTAAATTAACGTTATTATCTTCAAACATAGGAATATTTGAGAGTCAAAGAGAATCAAATTAAAACGGATGATTACTCATCGCTTCAGCAGCAGATACCATTCAAACACTTCCCTATTGGTGAAACGTTAGATAATTTATATCCTTTCAATGGCATAACACAACTCGCAATTCCCACTACCCAAATTTAAAATTTTAAAGTTCCTAAATACTTAGACATCAATATAATGCATCAAATCATGTTCTATACTTTCTCTGTTTTTTTTTTAAACGATTTATTGTGGAATTCTTTACATGTACAGTTTTCATTGAATGACGTCAAAAACGATAAGCTGCGAACCGATGAGTCACCGGTTAGGAACTTAAAAACTCTGGGGCAGGGAATGGTAGCACCTGGTTTCTCTTATCTATCAATTCAAAATATAGATAGTTTTTCTCTTCTTGGAAATACACAACTTTTGTTTGCGGGCAATTGAGAAGAAAATCGACACCATCATTTTAATTAACTGAGGGGGCTTATTTTAAGGCAACACCTATCATACAATGTTAACGTTGTAATCCAAAGTAAAAATTTACAGGAGCACATCGGGTCTCTTAAAATCACGATAAAAGAATTATAGGGGAGAATAACATTCAACAATTTTCTTCTGCAATCACACTCTTGGCATATCACTGCTTATTCAGCGCAAGCTCGATTTGAAAAGACGCCAAAACTACCAGTGGATCGGCCTTGGAAGCTCTAGAATATACACGAACGTATGTGTCGGATCAGACATGCGCATGCCTAATTTAGAGCGATGTATGTAAACAGTTGGTGGTAAATTGATGCCTCTTCACCTGTCTGTGGTACAAATTTCCTAGAAAATATATATGCATTATGTTTTGATCACTTTAGACAGAGGAAGCTGTTCTTGGCCAGTAGGCCTATATTTACCCATATTGCACCGTTCTTCCTAATAATAGTGCATACATACTAGTATATCCAAGTTAATTTACTAATAAGCAACACCACAATTTTGTTACATAATTTTGGAAAATTTCTTTTGAATTATCTGTACCCACTAGTCTCTTAAGAGAAAATTTTATTATTGACTTTTTTAAATTGTATATTTATAATTATTTAATGTTTGTTAACCTTACATAAATTTTTAAGTATGTTTGTTAGAAATCAAGAAAATACATTATGACAGCCAGAGATGATGAACACAATACAACTATTCACTTTTTGATATGTATACAGTAAAACTCGGTTATAAGGAAGTAATTTGGCTTCCTTATAACCAATTTCTGTATATCCCCAAAAGGAACATGGTGGGAAGTCTCATATGGGATTCATAAAATTAATGTTTCGTATAAACCGAGATTTCCTTATAATGAAGTTCTTTATAACCGATTTTTACTGTACAAGTTAATATACATAGCTTAGGGAACTTCTCAGAAGTACAATTTGCTTTTAGCTTAGAGGAAGTCTATTTAAATTGCTAACTATGAAAATGAAACGGTCCTTTCAGCCACATCACCAATGCAATGCCCTTATCAATAAACATTCGAGGTGAAGTCTGTTAATACTGTAGGATCACGCATTGGCAGAGAACATCTGTTAAAACACCACTTGTCTATAATATCGTTATAAACATTAAATGTACCTGGATTTTTTTATTTGTCGCTCTTTAGCTCTTTTGTTTTGCAATGTTCGCAGATATATGCTATTATTGTTCATAAAACTATATTCATATACTCTTGTGTTCTTTTTACGTTTGAGAATGTTTTTCTTATTCTATACTTCATTGTACTGGTATTTCACGAAAAAAAAATGTTGCCAGTTGACTTATTCTACATTTACTAAATATTTTTAAGCAGAAATAAAATTTGTATAAAATTAGACAGTGTCTATAATACTCCAGATATCTATGATTTTAGATGGGCGCCAAGTACGACCCTCAGGCCGAGGCTGAAGTTAGGCAGTGGTTCAAACAGCTTTTGAATGAAGACATTGGCGAGGGTGCCATGACTGTAGAGAAGAACCTTAAAGACGGAGTCCTTCTTATCAAGTACGTACCATAAAATATCACAGGAAAATTTAAATATTTACATTTCAAAATATTTTTCCTTAAGATTCTTTGCAACTTTAAAAAAAGTTCACGTTCTCATGAACTGCAGTGGGATGACTAAGAATACTTCCATTTTGATGTGATTAAAGTAAAAAAAAAATAATGCAAACTATTTTTTCAAAAATAATCGTTGAATGACAAAAATATGTGGCAAGTCATCAGAAAAATAATGTAAATATAAGATATGAATTTAATTTTTGAGAATTCATGAGGTACATGAACAACAACGCTTTACGCCTGCATATTTATCATGAAGTGCTAACGCGCTTCATGAAATATGCCGGCGTGAAGCGTCGTAGTTCATGTCCTCATGAATTCTCAAAAATTAAATTCATCTCTTAAATAAACTTTTGTACTATACTGTATTATGTTTCATTGCTACATTTATGCATAGAATTAAAAAACAAAAACAAGTATGCTGGTAAGATGATCCTATTGGCTTTCTGTTGTTGATTTCTTTGTATGTTACTCTTTTTGCCGATTTTCCAAGAGAAACCTCGATTCCAGCCAAGTGTTTATTAAGATTATATTTGGTTTATTTCTACAGACTTTTACAGAAATTGTACGAGGGAACACCAAACAAACCTGCCGCCTGTAATAAAATGAAACTTAAATACAACACCAGCGTGGCTCCCTTCAAGCAGGTAACACCCCCAATCCAAACTAATAGATTTTTTGTTACAGACTATACTCAAGTGTCTGGAGGTGGCGGCCATTTTCCTAGAGTTTTAAGGGTAGCGATAAGGTAGAGTTTCTTAGAGAAAAGGTACAATGTTGCAATACGCATTTACAGATTATTGCAAAAGTTATACGAGGGAACACCAAACCTTCCCATGGAATGTAATAAAATAAAGCTCAGATACAACACTTCGCCTCTTCCCTTCAAGCAGGTAACGTACATGGGCAGCTCGAGCAGTGAATGTCAGTGTTGTAGCTCTGTAGAAAAGCCTCTCTCTTTGCTATCAACTAGTTTGCTCTAGATATCCGTTTCTACTTTCTAATTGCCTGAGTTTTGTTTAGGAAAACTACAACAATGCAAATCAGGCGGTGCATTGTGATAAATTTCACTTTATCTTTTAGCTTGCTTCCTTTCTTTATTCTCTTTTTTTCCCGAAAACGATGCATGTTTGCCACATGTAAAATATGGAAATAGCGGTAAGTAGAGAAAGTACAAAAATGCCGTTTCTTCTGTAGTCTGCATAACTTTACTACTTGCCTGTTTTCAATGCTGATAGTCAATCCTAATTCTGTTTGAGTGACTACATAGCACATATAACTTTTTTTTTTACTGAATTACGTTTTGCTTTTCTTAGACGATATAATTGGGAAAAAAATGTTCTTTCAATCTATATATTGTCTGTATTGTCACGCATGACTGAAACTAAGAAAAATGAATCAGTTTTGTTTGTTATGTCCTTCGTTAGACGCCTTTGCACAATTTGAAACTCATTGTACCATAGTTTTGTAAATCCTACAACTCTAGTGTTTTTGGCATTTTCATATTTGTTGATTTAACAGTAAAAAGGAACTATGAATCCTATGATCACTCACTTCATATCAGTTTATTACTTAGTAAAAGCTCTGAATGTCAGATACACTAACTGACTGAATTAATTCTCTATTTTATTTTAAAATGTATCTTTTCATGCTAACCAGAGCCAGAGGCTCAGGTAAGCTTTTTGATCAAAGGTTGTCCTGTGTATGTATGTGAGTACATGTATATCAGTATGTATGTATTTCAGTATGTACTTATGTATTTAAGTATGTTCGTATATATGTACTTATGTAAACTTCATATTTTTGACCTACCCAGAATCACTCGGCCATCTTTAACCAAATTTGCAACAGAGCATACTTGGGTTAAGGTGATATAATTTTATTCACATGAAGGACTACTTTTTCATAGGATGATCATTTAATTGTAGTTTAAAAAGGATGGTGTGTCGTAAGCATTGAGTCGTCCTCTACCAAAATTCTGAAATTCATAGCTTCTTGGTCAGGGGTTCTGGTGTTAGGACAGGGCTCTATTGATCATATAGTGACAATGTGTGAATTGTCTAAAAATCCTCTTCTCTCCCTTATATAACTAGAAGACCAAACTAAGTGCATAGTTATGATGAGCAGGGATGCCTCTTCCAAAATGGTTAAATTTATGGCCCCTGGGTCAGGGGTGCTGGTGTTAAAGCGGGTCGCTCTATTGAACATATAGTGAAAATGCATTATTTTTTTCGAAAATTTTCTCTGCTCCTGGACATTCAGGCGGCAAACAAAGAACATTGATGTAAAGAAAAAGTTTTTTTAAAACCAGATTTGTGGAATTTCTTACCATTGGGACTTAGATTGAAGTGACTTGAAAGAGTCCTGTTAAAATTTTTGTCAGAGAGAGAGAATAATTTCACTTATAATCCATGGTCCTCCTGATTAAAAATAGCCCCTCAATAATTTTGCTAAATTGTGTTAGACAGTGTCAGCCCCTGTGCCTATTTGCTTAGCTAGATTTCTTTCCTTTCAGATGGAAAACATCGAATTGTTTTTGAAAGGCGCCAATGCCTACGGTGTCCCCGACAACAGCCTCTTCCAGACAGTGGACTTGTACGAAGGCAGAAACATGGCCATGGTAATTGCTACCATCCTGCAGGTCGGGACAGAGGTAAGGTTATATAACTTTTACTATCTCTGATATTCATGTATTTCACTTTGAATATGCAAATTATGTTGGTTGAATTCACATACCATTGCTTGATATACTAACGTTTTTATTCAGAATGATTATGTATTCCCTTCAACAGAAATTTCTGGAAAAGTATTTTAGGTCATCTAAGTTACTGTGGTGATCTTTTGATATCTGTTTTTGTCAGTTTTGATATTTTATTCCTCATTTTTGATTTCTTCTTATTTCTTCTTCAAAACTTCAACGAATCTACTTCAAAGCATTCAGAAATGACTGGGATTCAAATAAGGCCGTTCCTTTTTTTCAATTCGACATACATTTGTAATTAAGAAAAACATAAAATTGGCTTAGATCATTATGAACCTATTTATTAAAATCAAGAATAAGACCATATTAGGACAACCTAAATCTTTACAGATCCTTCTGTGTCAGGAACTGTAGCTAAGGGATACATTTTGTCACTGTATAAAAGCAACATCCTTATTTAGTGATATTAAAAACTGAGAGGGACACAGCAACAGAAAGCTTTAAAAATTTTACTTGGTGACATATACAGGGAAAAAATTCAAATTTCCTTCAGGACAGCAAGGTCTCAAAGTTTCAAGCTCTAATGTGCTGATAATTCAAATTTGTTTAAAACATGACCCCTGTATCAGAACTGAGACCACAGCAGTCGTTAAAAATGAAGAAACATTTTTCAGATAATTCCTTTGTAATAGCAAGGCTATAAATTTACAGATATATACGCAAGCATCTTTTTATACTGTAGATTCAGATTTGTTAAAATCGAGCTAAATTCGGGGTCAAAGTTATACAGAGTAAATTTTAGGGTAAACAATCATTGAAATTATTCTTTTCATGAACAAGAGTATCTGATGTTAAATAATACAAGCATCCCTTTAGTGTAGAATCAAGTTTGTTCCAAGCATATAGCTCCGTAGCAAAGATTAAGTTGAAATAGATGGGGGATTTTTAAATTAGTGCATAGGGGGAATATTCTTTCAAAAAAAAAGGTTGAAAATGACCAAATTTGATATGAAAACGTCATCAGGTATTGTAGATTCAAATTATTCACCTCTTGGTCATTTTGGCTAGAGGGGGCTATATTTGGGTTCCTGGGTTACACAAAGGAGAAGATATGAAAAAGAGAGTTGCATTTGGTTATTTAGATGACCATTAAGGTTCTTCGGCCTCTTATTTAACCTGTAACATTTTTACTTAACAAACACAACACCGCCATTTTTTCACTCACAACCATACTTCCTCTGCACCAAACCTTTATATCTGAAATACATATATCTATTTTTAAAAAAGAAGAACATGTCTTATGATAATTGTTCAAGCTGTTGAAGGGATATGATAAATTTGTGTTGTGCTGCTTTTGCATCAGTAACGTGATTGTTTTTGCACGTTTCTAATCTAATGAAAAGATATATCAAATTAAAATCTTTATTTGCATGGTTTCTAGATAATTGAATGGTGCTTGCGATACAGATGTTACATTTGGCAAACATACAATTGCTGCAATAAATATCGAGTAAAATTGCATATAAAATGTTCGCTTGGAATAATCGTTGAATTGCATTATGTACAACTCTCTGTGCTTACAAAGAGATAGTGTGATTACGACGGTTCCTTTTCAACGATCAACAACTTTTCGGGCATCAGAAGTGGCATGCGCTCATCTTGAAAGCTTTGCATGATTTTAGCGGTAAGTAACAAGCGTCTCTTTTACATTGGGCTGTTTGATTGTAATGAATGTTGTATAAAACTTTCTTCTGTCGCTTTGGTGTTGTAGATCTTTTTTTCTTCAATGTAAAGTCTTTGGGCTATGTGTTTGCATTACGCTTACGAATTGAATAGTATATCTGAGTGTTATTCATTAAGATTTCATCGGGAGTTTGGTTTTTGACAATTTACTTAGTTCCCTCATCTATGTATGATTCTTCTTTGCCCATAGAGCTTCTTTCTATCATATAGTAACTTAGCTAGATCGAATTGGTGTCATAAAATATTTAATGTAACAAATCGAGGATCTATAATCGTAACAAACAACTAATCAAATTTCATTAACTTTTCAAAATTGTATAAAGATGAGAAATAAACATATACAACAATTAAACTTTGTCGTTTCTATTGAGGATTGTTTGGTATAATTTCGATAAAAATGACAACAGGGCCAGTAACGCAGTTTTGGGAAAGCTGAATCAAACATCCCGATGAAATCAAGTGCCTGCTTGAAGTACTCGTGTCTCTAACCAAATTATTGAATAATCAAATTAAATAATCAAAACATTAAAATTTGGAATCGGTCTTTGTATCTTTTAGGCTCAGCGTAACGGTTTTAACGGACCGACCTGCGGTTCCAAACCCACCGAGCGTCACCAAGTTCAATTCTCATACGAGCAGCTCAAGCAATCTCATGGGGTTATTGGTCTTCAGAGTGGCACAAATAAATTCGCTACCCAAAAAGGCATGCGTATTGGCTCTGTTCGTCACATCGCTGATATCAGGGCAGACGACTTAACTCAAGATGGACAGAACCATATTGGTTTACAAGCTGGATCTAACCAATTCGCCAGTCAAAAGGGAATGACAGGTTTTGGTGCTGTTAGGCATATTTCAGATATTAGAGCAGACCAGTACGACAAGGAATCGGCCGGTATCATCAGTCTCCAATCAGGAACTAACAAATTCGACTCCCAGAAAGGAATGCGTGGTGGTTTTGGAGCCGTTCGTCACATCTCAGATATTAGAGCAGATCAATATTCCGACGACAGCAAAGCTCACATCAGTTTACAATCCGGCACAAACCAATTCGCTTCCCAGAAAGGTATGACCGGTTTCGGGGCAGTCCGTCACATTGCTGATATTAGGGCTGACGACTTGGACCGAGAAGCTGCCGCCGAGGTCAGCTTACAGTACGGTACCAACAGATTTGACAGCCAAAAGGGAATGACATCATTTGGAGCACAACGTCACGTTTCCGATATCAAGGTTACCGACTTAGCCGAGGAAATGAGACGTAAACTGGGCTACACGCCATCTCAACAGGAAATTCAGGAGATGCAGGATATGCAGTATCAAGATCAACAGTAAAATATTAATCAAATCTGGGAAGGAGGATCAACATCGAAATAGACTTTTAAAACATTTACATCTGCCATGGTTTTCATGAATTTCGAAACAAAGTGCAACGAAATATATGGACTACTTGTTGACTATTTATATTCTAGAATATATAAAAACTGGACCCTTAAAGACGTCTTAAAAATGCAACGGATATCCGAGAGCCACGCGGAACTTAAATGCGCTAAACCCTTGCTAATGTAAATGTTGTCAGAATGCTTTCTACGTGATGAGAGAACAAAAATAAACAAATCTCGGCCGAGATGTTTTGTTATTTATATGTCATTTTCAGTTCTGTGCTTTTCTCTGCTCTTGCCAAAAAATGCAAAAACTTAGGTCTGGATAAACATGCTATTCTTGTTTAGGCAAATCCATAAGATACCTCGGAATGTTCCATATGGGCCCTTTTGCCGGAGACCGGAAACCGGAAATCATTATGTAGAAGTGAGACTGTAACGAAATGTGTATTTGTTTGAGTAAATATTATTCTTTTATACACTTTTATACAAAGACTCGACGTCGCAATATGACACGTGTCATCTTTTATTATAACAATGTACGTACAATGTAAATTTTCATGATGTAAGGACGCTGTGTTGTGAATAAAATTTATTATTTTTTATCTGTTGTCCGTTACTTTTATAATGAAATAAGCGGAGAAATGAACAGAATTGGGATGACTTAATTGGTTATAACTTAAAAGTTGTAATAATTTTGAATTATGTAAAAAAACAAATTCTTTCGAATGAACGATAAAAGATAATTAAAATGTGAACGAGGAACAAAGTAATTACGTCAGTTCTTGTGGCATTTTATAAGCAGTGGAGTTGCGCCTGTATAACGTATAACATTAATCAGTAAATGACCTTTCTGTAAAATAAACATGTATTATGGTTGCAATAGAAATGAAGAAAAGCGGTATAAACACGAAAGATAATGTTAAAAAACATACATGATTTCATTTTTAAACCTTAAAATTGAATAGTTAAATCCCATTTAAAGTTCAAATAATCAGTGAGCTGAACTATACTGCATATTGGGTTTCTTTGTTTGGTACAATAAGATTAATGTACAAGTATCTGAGATATTTTTCACTTTTACTTTCACCAGTAGGAATCACTCAAATCCCTTTCTCCATAACCAAACTATTGCTTTCATGTCCATGCACTAGGTTCAAAATTTTGAGATTTAAATTTTCAATGAATATCTTTGATTCTGCACCACAAAGAGTTAATTTTGACAGAAGATAACAGTACCACTAGTGGGCCTTTCATTGAGGAGTTGAACAGCTAACTAAAATTTCGTAAGTTGACATTTCTTTCCTCTAAGATCTTGCGTTAATCTTTTTTCAAACAAAATAAAAATCAAGCTTCCGAAGAGATTCTTTGAGTATGGAATGCAATTTCCAGGTTTTTTTCTATTGTTTGAATGTTCGTTGTTTGTGTAATGGCGCTACTTACAAGACTCTGGGCTTTTAAAGTTTTTATCCTAATCAGAATGCTATGACTTTCATTTTCTTCCTTTAAAGCAAACAAATACACTTAGTGTAAAATGCTTTGTAAATAAAATTCCTTGGAAAGGGGCTCACCCAAGAATATCTGATTTTTTTTTCATTCATTTTAGGCCCAGCGCAATGGCTTTGAAGGCCCAACCATTGGTAACAAACCGGTCGAGAAAAACGCTCGAGAATTCAGTTACGAGCAACTGAAATCAAGCCATGGTACCATTGGTCTGCAGGCTGGTACAAATAAACTGGACTCACAAAAAGGGATGACAGCCATGGGGGCTGTTCGGCACATCTCCGATATCCGAGCCGACAAATTTGACAAGCAGTCGGAGGGGTGTATTACCCTACAAGCCGGAACAAACCAGTGGGCCAGCCAAAAGGGAATGACGAGTATTGGCGCCATTCGACACATTTCTGACATAAAAGTATCTAAGGCAAGCCAGGAGGGACAAGCGGATATTAGCCTGCAAAGCGGCACCAACAAGTTTGACAGTCAGAAAGGAATGCGAGGATTCGGCGCAGTTAGACATATTAGCGACATTAGAGCTGATGACCTTCTGCGAGAGGGTACTGACAAAATCTCGCCAGTTATCTCGTTCACTGGCGGGGACAGCCAAAAGGGCATGCGCGGCTTTGGCGCCCAACGTCATGTGTCTGACATAGCGGTTGTCGATTTGGCCGATGAGTTTTGCAAAAAAACAGGATACAAACCACCAAAAGCTGTCGTAAAGTCCGATTCCAAAGGGGATGTTACTGCGGATGAATGAACTTATCTAGATTTCAAACTATAGAACTTTATCAAATTTGAAAATTATAAAAAAAAAATAAAATACACTTATGACAAATTCTAGACTTAAAAAAGACATTATAAATTTGACGAGAGAACATTTGCCAAGCAATTGTGCATCAGTAACTAATAAATGAATGCAGATTTATTCATATCACTTTGCACATGCACTCATTTTACGAAAACTGGACAGGGACATTTGCATGAATCTAGACTCTATGCATTTAATTAGAACAATAGAAATCTTTCCATAATTCCCTAAACAATTTTACCCCTTCTATTATTTTTATTTTGCTTATAATGATTGGATTAATTTACAGAACATATATTATGTTTTTCAATAAAATTTACACAATTTCCATGTCTTTATTACTTCGACTAGCTATTTCACGTTTCATTTTTAAAGAGGATTTCGAAATGAAATCCATTATGGACAAGGTATTCTAATGTTACTGCTGTAGCCAATCCAATACTCCATTACTTTTTAAAAAGGCTTTTAAGAGGAAATAAAAATTATCAGTAATTTAGCATTGGCCATCATACTCAATGCGCAATGAAAATGAACAAAGGTACATACTAAACATTTTTTCTTATTTAGAATTATATTAATTACAATATTATGAGCTGTTCCCTTTGAAAACAGATTAAAGAAGTGAACTTTATTGAATGAAGGTGATTCTTTATCAATGCTTTGACCGTTTCAGGCTCAACGAAATGCCTTTAATGGCCCCACTATAGGATCTAAACCAACCGAAAAACACGTCGTTCACTTTACAGAGGAACAGAAGAGAGCAGGTCATGGCATTATTGGATTGCAGGCGGGCACAAACAAATGCGCGAGTCAGAAGGGAATGAAGATAGGAGCAGCACGCCACATTGCTGACATCAAAGCAGATAATCTCGATCGAGCGGGCCAAGGCATCATTGGAGCACAAGCAGGCACGAATCAATATGCTTCGCAAAAAGGAATGAAAATTGGTGGAGTTCGTCATATTGCTGACATCCGCGCCGATGATATGACACAGGAAGGCCAGGGTATTGTTGGAGCACAGGCAGGTACCAATAAATTTGCAAACCAGTCCGGCATGACGTTTGGGGCCGTGCGTCACATTGCTGACATCCGTGCGGATGATGCAACTCTAGAGGGGCAGGGCGTCATAGGACTACAGTCCGGAAGCAACAAGGGTGCAAGTCAGTCTGGTATGTCGTTTGGTGGTAGAAGACACGTCTCTGATATTAGAGTAGATGATATGTCACAGGACTCGCAAGGAATAACGGGCGGGCAATCGGGTACGAATCAATTTGCGAGTCAGAAAGGAATGTCCTTTGGGGCCGTGCGACACATTGCTGACATCCGTGCTGATGACGCGACTCAAGAGGGCCAGGGTGTTATTGGACTGCAGTCCGGAAGCAACAGGGGAGCTAGTCAATCAGGAATGTCATTTGGTGCTGTCCGACATATTTCTGACATCCGGGCAGACGAGTACTCACAAGAAGGAGCGGGAACAATAGGGCTACAATATGGAAGTAATAAAGGAGCGAGTCAATCAGGCATGAACTTTGGAAAAGGAAGAGGGGTCGCTGATATTCCAATCACGGATCTGGCAGAATCCATGGGATATACACAATATTGAGTAAAGGGATCGATTTGGGAGGGGGGAGTTAAGGGTGTTTCCTGTGAAAAGTGTACACGTCTACAGGGTCAACAGAAAGTAAATTTGTACAGTAACCTGTGAAATAACTATATATTCTGCTAGCTAAAGATCTTTGTTGTTTCTGCTAAATCATCATTATGTGTACGTGTATCAATTTTTACAATGTCAGTAAGTCTTTTCCGAAGGGACAGAAATTATAGCCACAGCAATTGCTAGATACCTACGAGTGTGATATTGTTAGCACAGCAAAATCCGATCATTCCTACAAAATCAAAACGGTATCTGTTGATAAGTCTAAGTCTTCTGTCTCTACTAGAAGTCTTGTGAGTCACTATGCCAAATCACTATGCTAAATCACTTTGCAGTTTACGCCGAACCATTTATAATCTCGTATTGTCTTTTTGTATTATGTGTAAAATGTATCCATTAAATCATCGTTTATTAATTTGTTTTCTTAGTTTTATTTATAGTTTTAGAACTCAGAGTACTTGACATTCATAAAATTCAAAACTAGTCTATAAATTGCGGAAAAGTTATTCCTTTGACTTTTATCCTCATTGCAAATATTAAGCAAAGTTTTCATGAATATTCATAGATATCTAAGGTTAATGATTTAAAATTTCCAAAGTGCTTTTGAGAGGTGGAGTTTTATGGATGAGGACGCTTAATTTTAAAGTAGATCTGGTTTTCAATTTTACAATTATTAAATCCGGTTTTAAATTTTACAATGATCGGTATTTTGGTTAAGAAAAAGTTCATACATGTATCAACTACAAAGTACTTTTCTTTATTGTACATGTATGATTGACTAATTCCTATCCCTCTGATTGGCTGAGATCCAACAATGTAGAAAAAGTACAACGTTATATTCACCTGCACGTGACCTTCCAGGGGGATATAAGGATTTATTTTCTCTACATTGGTCTAAAAATAGATCGGGAAATTCTAAATTGATACAAATAGTTTTGAAAAGCTATTTCACTTGCTACCGTCTTCCACTCAGGTGAACATAACATTAGGGAATATATAATCTGGGGAAGGGGTGGTTGTGGGGAATGGGGGTTGGGTGCAGGGGACCTCCCCCCCCCCCCCTTCAAACATTTTTTTTTTTCTGAACGTAAATTTTTACTTTTAATTTAGACTAGAAATATTCATTAAAAGACTGGTCCCCACTGATGGACTTTAATCCCCCACCCCTAACCTAACCATATAAAACAAAATTTGAAGTTAAAAGAATCCTTTTTTTTTTAATTTTTGTGGGGGCTAATCAAAGATTTTTTCAGCTGTCATTTTCCCCTGATAATGACCCCCCTTTTTTAAAAAATCTATTCTATAAAAGAGCCTGACATTATTTCTTTTTTTTAAAGCAACTAAAGTAGATTAAATAAATTCCAAATTAATACGACGGGTAATGTTTATTTTACCCCGCTTCTCTCAATGTATTTAGCTAGGACTTTTGCAAATATAAACAAGTAAGATGGCTTAAATGCTGAATGAGTTCGTATCATTTAATTATTGAATCATATAATAAAAAATTTATTGCTGTTTTTTCTCAGTTAATACGATGATTTAGCCACCTTCAAAGTACAATATTCACCTCGCCCTCCGGGCTTGGTGAATATTGTACTTCTCAGGTGGCTAAATCATCGTATTGACCTCAAAATCAGAAATAATTGTATAATATCGTTATGTTACAGATTTTATTGCATTAAAAGTTCATTTTTTTTATTGCCGTTTGTGGCTGAAATAACTATGTAGGGTCAGTGTTATAGAATTAAAAGAGTGGAGGAAGTTAAAAAAAAATCAAAAATTTAATCACTTTTATTTTAAAATGGTCAGAAAGTTTCGTGATTCAGCTTTGATTCATACTGTGCTCTCAAGGATAAATTCAACTTTTTCGTGTATGAAAATTTAGTAGAGGGGGGAATAAATGAAGTTTTTTGACCAATGTCAAGGTATACTTTTAGTGCCAGTTTCATTTGTGTAACAGAATTTAAGCATTGCTTAATAATGAAAAGCAAGGCAAATAATAGCTTATAAATCTTGGACATGCCTCAATTTAAAAGCATCGAGTACACCCACTTCAAAAAGGAATTCATGGCTTGCAGTACACAGGCAATAGTACCTATCTGCGGGAAATCTGATATTTGAGACCCCCTTTGAATTTAATGTATGAAGGAAAAAAGTTAAAATAAGAAAGAATTTATTTACCGTATTCTTTAACATTGCTAAAATCAAGGGAATAGTTTCCTTCTGGCATTTATTTCCCATAAATACGGAAGGTCAATCTTTTTAATAATGCATGGATTTTAAAGGACAGAAGAAACTTACATAATGGTAAAATTTGTCGTATGACTTTGTACTGGTTTATTATCCAGGTAACAAAAGATCTTTCAACACACATTGAAAAGATCCCAAAATGAACAAACAAGAGAGTTATTTTATTTATGTAGAAAAAACCTAAGCTTTATGAGAATTAGCCCACTATTCCTTAAAGTCACACGTAGCTATCTGAGTGTTAGTTGAAAGGCAGGTTAACAAAAATTAACAGGAATAAACAGTTCAGCAGAGATTTTTATGGTTGACCATAGAATAAGGGCGACTGTTACGTGATCCCGGACGCAACACAATAAAAAAAGAAAAAAATCAAGGAAATCTTTTTTTTTCGTCTTGGTAAAAGTAAATGGTATATATTGGAAGCTGTTCTCTAATTAACAGATGTCATCCAAATGCTCAGTTTAATAACCATAGGTTTGGGATGGATTGGAGTTGCTATAGCCTATGGTAAATGTATTTATTTTTTTTTTTAATTCGGAAATAAGAATGTAATTCCAGAGTCTTTATTAGGCTTTTGACGACTTCTTGGGACTTTTTTTTATCAAGTGACAAGGATGCTTTACTTACACGAGATGTACAATGCGCATGTGCTTGTATACGTAAAGAAAACATTTCTGTGCACAATCGAAATACTTACATAATCATAAGTTTAAAAAGATTAAGATTTTTTAAATAAAATCATTTTCAGTCCAGATTTCTTTTTGGCAAATGGACGAACGATATCGAAAGATCCAGGAGGATCGTACGGAAATAAAGGGGGAAAACAAAGGGTCTAAAATCTAATTTGATGTAAAATACATGTAATTGTCGAAAAATATTCCTCAATAAAGTTTTAAAAGTACACATATAAGGAATTAACAACACTATCGCGTGTCACTTAAATTTTTGCAAACGCAGTAGGTTCTAAGCCATATAAAAAAAAAAAACCCAAACCCTTAGCGTTTGTGTGCTTCCTCGCGAGCAATATTCAAAGAGCAATGTAATATTGAATGTATTAGACATGTTTTCATTCAATGTCATTCTTTTAAATCACTTGCTTTTGAGACCTCTGCAAATCTCCAATTGTTGATAACCGTTTGGACACTCACCACTCTACTATGAATAGAAACTTAATTCTTATACTGTAGACGTATAAGGCATACAAAGACAACCTTAGAAATCCGCGTAATTTATTACTCGCAGAATGAAAAGAAATTAGGATTTCGTGGAATTACAACTCCATAGAAAAAAAGAACGTATACCTATTGAAATCATATTTTAAAATAATAAATCATGACTGTCAATATCGAGAGATTTTTTTCATCCTTTGAATCACACATTGATCCATTCGCGACCAAATGTCATTATACGTGTAGATTCCTTATTTTTCGCGAGTACTTATTATCGCGAAATGACTCTTTAACGTCAAATCGCGAGAACAATAATTCACGAGTGGATGGTTGATCAGTGATTTTACATAGATTTCAGCACCATAAAAATAAAAGCGAGTAATTTTATTTCGCGAGTGGTGCTTCTCGCGTAATTACGCGATAATTAATTCCTCGCGTATATTTAGGAATCTACAGTAGTAGACAAGCAAATGATTCCAGAAAATATGTCTAACATGAGTGTCAAATGCTAAAATAATTTTTTCATATCTTCAAATGTTTGAATCTCAATCAGGTAACTCAAATGGATATCTAGTTTAAGACATTTAATTTACCATTTTAGATCCAGTAATTGAGCAGGTCTCCCCAAACCCTGCTATTGTTGGCGAAAGGTATTCTTTGCGTTGCAAAACGGGGCCTTTGGGGAACATAAGTCAAATAAATTGGAGTTTCTCAAACGGTTCAACAATTTTTAAAAACGAGATTTTCGATCTAGAAGGTAACTTCAGTGAAATACTCGTATTCAAAGATGTCAAAAAAACTTTCAATGGACTACAGTTTTCATGTTTTGCCATATCCTTTGAGAATACAACGACCAAAAGTACACCCTTTACCTTAACTGTCATAGGTAAGTCTGAATATCTTTTATCTCTTAATTCTACATAATATATCTTTCTTATGAATATAATTGTTAGATTGACCACAGCTAATCATTAGGGATTTTTTTTAAAATCTCCAAATGGTAGCTTAGAGCATAAATTCACCAGTAGGCCCTTCTCATGCAAATTATGTCATCTATACTGGTAATGTACAATTATGTCATCTATACTGGAAATGTACATGTATATTGCATATTCATCAGCTATATACCTTTTGAATTTTCTTTTTTTTTCTCTCTTTTGTCATTAATGTTTAAAAAAAATATCTTCAGAAAAGCGCATTATTTATGACTAATAATAACGCATTAAAAAAAAAACTTTAAAATGATATCCGCAGTTGAGAATTATTTTTTGACCATGACCGAATTTATTACTTCACCAACTCAATGTGTAGTCTTAAATATAGACTATTGCTTTAGATTTGCAACAAAAAATGATGGGTGTTTATCTTTTTAGTGATTGAATTATACGAGCCCCTAGATTGCAGAAAGCCCCATAACTTCAAATCCAGTAATTATCGAACATTTTGATTATACGCCCAAGTACTCTTGACCGAGATCCAGACATACAATCTAAGAATGAGCTAGATTATTTGAAATATTTAACAATAGGGAGTTATAGTTTGTCACCGCTATTTTAGAGTCCATATCTACAATAAAAGTCAGACAGATCTCCCCAGACCCTGCTATTGTTGGTCAGAACTATTCTTTCCTGTGCGAGGTTGAGCCTTCAAGAGAAAACGTTCTTATACATTGGAGTTTTGCAAACGGTTCAGTTATTTCTGATAATGATGTGTTTAAACTGGATAGTAACATAAGTCAAACACTTACTATCAACGATGTCAAGCAGTCATACTTGGGGTTCCAATTTATATGTGCTACCGCAGACGTTGATAATTCAACTAAGAAAAGCCAGCCTTTTTCGTTAATTGTTGTCGGTAAGTGAGAGCTTAAATTATTTATGTATCAAAGAATATCAATTCTTTTCTTTCAGTAATGTTAAAGGTTGTGTTTTCATCAAATTGTTTACTAAATCAACACTATACAATATATATATAGAGAGAGAGAGAGAGAGAGAGAATGAAGGCAAGATGATAAATCTTTTATTTTTTCGTTTTATAATAAACTTTGCTTTTCTAAAAATGTGTGTTACATAACCTTTGTTTTAGCTTCGCCCGAGATTGAGTATTTTGAAGACACAACATACGCACAATCAGGGCGACCATTTCTTAAGGATTGTTTAGCTTCTGGCTACCCCTACCCCGTGACAAAGTGGTTTCAAGGAAGAAAAGAAGTACGACAAATGAACACCTCAGTGTTTCGTTCTGTTCTGGTCATCCCAACTGTCGCCCCAAATACACGTGTAAATTACACGTGCAAAGCAACAGTTTCGCTGGGAATCTTTGTTTTGTCTACCAAAAGATCATTTACTCTCATATCTTACGGTATATATATAAAAAAAATGAATTGTTGACAGTTTTGATCGTTTTTTAGCTCACCTGAGCTGAAAGCTCAAGTGAGCTTTTCTGATCACCCATTGTCCGTCGTCCGACCGTCTATCCGTCCGTCTGTAAACTTTTCACATTTTCAACTTCTTCTCAAGAACCACTGGGCCAATTTTGACCAAACTTGGTACAAAGCATCCTTGCGCAAAGGAAAGTTTAAATAGTTAAAATGAAGGGCCAAACCTCCTTCCAAGGGGAGATAATCAAGAAAAGACAAAAATAGGGTGGGGGTTTAAAAAAATCTTCTTCTCAAGAACCACTGGGCTGGAAAAGCTGAAACTTATGTGGAAGCATCCTGGGGTAGTGTAGATTCTAAATTGCTAAAATTATGACCCCCGGGGGTAGGGCGGGGCCACAATATGGAATCCAAGTTTTACATTGAAATATGTAGAAAAAAAATCTTTAAAAATCTTTTTCTCAAGAACCACTGGGCTGGAAAAGCTGTAACTTAAGTGGAAGCATCCTGGGGTAGTGCAGATTCTAAATTGTTAAAATCATGACCCCCGGGGGTAGGGCGGAGCCACAATAGGGAATCCAAGTTTTATATTGAAATATGTAGTAAAAATCTTTAAAAATCTTCTTCTCAAGAACCACTGAGCCAGAAAAGCTGAAACTTATGTGAAAGCATGCTGGGGTAGTGTAGATTCTAAATTGCTAAAATCATGACTCCCGGGGGTAGGGCGGGGCCACAATAGGGAATCCAAGTTTTACATTGAAATATGTAGAAAAAAAAATCTTTAAAAATCTTTTTCTCAAGAACCACTGGGCTGGAAAAGCTGTAACTTAAGTGGAAGCATCCTGGGGTAGTGCAGATTCTAAATTGTTAAAATCATGACCCCCGGGGGTAGGGCGGAGCCACAATAGGGAATCCAAGTTTTATATTGAAATATGTAGTAAAAATCTTTAAAAATCTTCTTCTCAAGAACCACTGAGCCAGAAAAGCTGAAACTTATGTGAAAGCATCCTGGGGTAGTGTACATTCTGAATTGTTCAAATCTAGACCCCCAAGGGTAGGGCGGGGCCACAATAGGGAATCCAAGTTTTACATTGAAATATGTAGTAAAAATCTTTAAAAATCTTCGTCTCAAGAACCACTGAGCCAGAAAAGCTGAAACTTATGTGGAAGCATCCTGGAGTAGTGTAGATTCTAAATTGTTCAAATTATGACCCCCAGGGGTAGGGCGGGGCCACAATAGGGAATCCAAGTTTTACAGTGAAATATGTAGTAAAAATCTTTAAAAATCTTCTCAAGAACCACTGGGCCAGAAAAGCTGAAACTTAAGTGGAAGCATCCTGGTGTAGTGTAGATTCTAAATTGTTCAAATCATGACCCCCGGGGTTAGGGCGGGGCCACAATAAGTACTACAGGGGGGCAAATCAGGTGAAAAACAACAAGGCCAAGTTACTCAGGTGAGCGTAGTGGCCCATGGGCCTATTGTTTTTAAATGTATTTAATTTGTAAATTTTATTTCAAACAATTCTTTAAGTTGCAGATAACATCGGTGTGCAAGACCAAGATGAAAGTTTTACCAACAGAGTGGAGTATAAATATTCCATATTTATAGCGACTATTGTGGGAGTTTTTCTATTGATACTGGTACTGACAGGCATTTTGTGTGGATATTTGAAAATGAGTAAGCACTTCAAATGTGAATAAGCATGCTTTACATCTAAGTATAATTGATGAATCTTTTACGGGTTTTTTTGTTTGCATAATTATAATGGTTTAACATTTACATGTAGGTGGATATTTACCAGGCCACATTAAAAAGACAGAAGATATTGGACTGGAACCGAGTAATCCGCCCAAAGATGAAACTGAAAACATGAATAATGGGTACCAAAATTTAATGTGACGGTTATACATATTTTTATAGCCAAGGGGAACATTTCAATAACATTTCATTTCTTATCTTATGCCACGCATATAATTAGGCAAGCGAAATTGGCCTACATATAGTTCTGAATTCGTAATTACTAGTATTACATTATATATTTTTGTAATAAAGAACAATATCCTTAATATATCCCTTAAAAATTATTTCGACAAAAAAGCAAAATTAGGATTATTTTATATTTTCAAAGGTTGTTTTTTTTAAAAGTTTTTGATAATTTGTGTCCATTTTAGATCGTATGTGCGCTTAAAGGATGAGACGGGCGAATCTTACCTTTATGAGGACATTGCCCAAGTGGAATCCACCAATCGCACAGAAACACAAAAACGCCAGCAAAGTTGTCATTTAATTTTGATTAAAGAAAAAAAAATCATGCATGCATTTATATTTATAAGTGTTGTTCACTAAATCGTACTTTTGATACGAGCTTTTCAATCGGGGAGGGGGGGGGGTTACTGTGAAAATAAATCTTGTTTTTGATTTTCTTTTCTCTCAATGCCTGTAGGTTTTCTTTATAACCAGAATATGTAATCGATATATAGTTCTTTTACCTGAAATAAAAAGAAAAGAGCAAGTAGAGTTTAGATATTGGCAAAATTACCAGTAAAATCAATACATGACAGTGTATATTTTTTATCTCACACGTACTTGTTTAGTATATGCTATTTCTTCAAATATCAAAAAAGTAAAATTGCTTGAAAGATATCCATTTATTTTAGCAGACAAAAGGAAGAAGATTTTAAAGAGTGAGTCCTTTCAAATAATGTTTTAACTCATCGCTCGTTTTCTACAAATGTAAGAATAAGTATTCCTTAACACTATTTTTTTCCCTTAATAGCAACAGAAAATTAGTTTCCGCTCCATATCCAGGCAACTTGAAATTGGATATCTTAATTATTTTGAATTTTATGAATTTTATTAGATGATGTAATGTAGATATTTAAGTATGAGAAAAAAATAATTAAATAGCGGATCTACAACATCTAAAGTTGTTCTTACTAGAAGTGAACATAAGGAAGATGTATGGAAAACCGATTGTATTGTAGATTGTGTATTCTTTAATTTAGCAGGGAAAGGATTAAAAAAATCAAAGAGTGGGCCCTCTCTTAAATGCCTGGGGAAGGAAGGACCAGACAATGGAGAAAATTCAATGTATGTGCTGCTATCCCTTCTGCACCCCCCCCCCCCCCCCCCACGAAATGCAAACTTATTACTTCATACTAGATACTTAATAATTAATACGTTTTCTAGGAAAACAATAATTTAATTCTTTCATTGCAAAAGATAAGTTATATATAATTGTTAGGAGAAATTTTTATTCAACAAAATAACTTTTACGAGAGTATTTTAAATTGAATCTGAGTACAGGGTGCAGTCCATCTTCGAGTATACTTCGGTGACACAAAAACGTGGCTGTCAAGAGAGTTGTCAAAATCAGTCAGAATTGATTACAGAATTTAATCAATAACTTCCATATAAGAAGAAAACTGTTGCTGTGGATTTAACTCGACATTAAAATATATCGACGACGTTTTATCAATTAACAATAGTTACTTTCATTCGGATGTTGACTCGATATATCTCAGTGAACTCGAAATAAGAGACACCACAGAGTCTGTCATGCCTCTTTCATATTTAGATATTTTACTGACTATAGATGAAAATGGCCAACTAACAACAAAACTATGACAAACGAGATTTCTTAGCTTTACCATCGTCAACTTTCGTTATTTTTATAATAATCCACTATAACTTGCATATGGTTTTTATGAATTTATTCGATACGCAAAAGCATGCTCTTATTATGATCAATATTTTAAATCGAGGCAGGTTACTGACAAATAAGTTAATGTTACAGGGATTTCAACAACCTCGTTTACATTTAGCATTTCGAAAATTCTATGGTCGTTGTATTGACCTTGTTTGCATATACAACCTATCAGTGGGTCATATTTTGACTGACATGTTTCATACCAATTGAGACAATGGTTTTTAAAAACTAAATTTTAGTATGGATTATTCCGTCCATCGGATCAATTCATAGGGCTCACGGCGGTAGTTACTGGTCAACAGGAGATGCTTACTTCTCCTAGGCACCTGATCCAGAATCTGAAATTTTCAGGATTCCGTATTTTATGCCCTGTTCCGAGTGTTTTATTCCCTGTTCAGAAATTTGTTTTGTTTCATAAATGAACTCTAGAGATCAATCACTGTTTGCTGTCTTCACCTTTTTATCATTTATGGGTATTTAAGTCTTCCGAAAATTATTTAACAATATGCTCGTATAATGCAGGCATATCTACATGTAATTATCAGTTCTTGAAAAAAAAATAGTTTTTAGCAAAGCTGCACCCTTTAATTTTTCATCATATCATCAAAAATATGTCAAATTGAAAAGTTACAAATCATTTAATTTGGAATTAACAAAATCTTGCAGACTAAATGATTCGTTTATCTATCATAATGATGACTAAGAGCACGCTAAATTTTAAAACTTTCATTCTTTCGATTTAAACACATGCCCTGAGCTTGATTTTTATTTTTATTTATTTATTTATTTATTATTATTATTATTATTATTATTGGACATGTTATTGAAATAAGTTAATTCTTTTTTATATTATGTATTTCAGAGAAGATCAGAAAAAATTGTCAGATGGTTCAATGTTTTATTATGAAATCCCAATAGGAGGAACAAAACAGAAAAATTGTAAGTAATATGATATTAACTTTAACAACACTTTTCTTAGATTTTTGAAACTTTTTTGAGGTTTTTCTTTTTCTTATTTTTTTTTTTACTCTTTTTAGTTTGAACGACTGCATGCCAAGCCAACATGCTTTGTACAATGTAAATAGAAGCCCTAAAATGGGTTTGAAATCAAGGGGAGAATAAGACGTAGATAACATTTTCATTTGATTATAATCAATAATGAACTCTTCAAGCAGTTTACATAATATATATATATATATATATATATATATATATATATATATATATATATATATATATATATATATATATATATATATATATATATTAGAACATGTATCTAATAGATCTGTAAACACAGAAAGATTTGACTTTTTGTAGCAATCAGATTTTTAAGGTTGTTCTTTAAGGTTCATGGATACTCTAAGAGCTATAACTCTTAATGGGATAAATAACTTTATTACTATTATTATTAACTAAATAATAATAACAACTCATTTTTATTCATTTTATTAGGTAAATTAAAACCACAAAATTAATATTTCTTGATTTCAGCAGCTAAGGATTTGAAAGAAACCGAAGTTACATAAAGATACATAATTCTGTAATTTTATTTAAAAAAAAAAAAGGCTTGTGCAGTATTGCCATGGTCATTTAAAAAGAATAATATGTTTTAGAAGTGTAAAATGGAAAACAAACTCTGTTTCAAATGTCCACATCCTCCTACAGTGTTGGTTTCATTTGAATAAAACTAGGTAAAAATTTTGAAAACTTCAAGATACTACTCTCTAGGTGTAAAACTTGAAACTAAAATGCAATTTTTAAAAAGACTTTATTAGATTTATACCATTAGAACTAAGCCTGTTTCTACGAAGAAATCTGGCAACATTTATAAATCACCTGAGTCGCATGGGCAACCTACTGTTATATGTTCATTATCGTGCGTTAAGCAATGTGTGTACAATATGCAAGATGTCTCTAAACATTTGAAGGGCACAAGAATTGTGAATTTCTTATACTCTGTCTACACGAAGTCAAAGTAGTGGGACCAATCAACCATCAATGTAAATGCAATCTACAGAAATGTTCTTTACGCCTGAAGCAGTTTGTTTGACTAAGTTCACCTAACAAAATTCATCAAAAAGAATTGAAAAAAATCTTACCCATGGGCCAAAGGTTTAAATTGCAGGTTCTGACTATATTTTTTGTAGATTGAAAATGCATTATAATACTCTTTGAATTTTTTAGATTCAAACTGGTGGAACTTATTTTTTAATATATTGAAAATACCTTTGAAATACTTCTTAATTTCTTTACTCCTGGAACCTTAGCAGATTTAGACCCCAGAAAGCAAAATGTGTTCAAAATCAGCCACATTAAATTCCTAACCTAGGGGTCGAAGGTTGAGGTCATCTAAGTTGGTAATATATAGAATATGCATTTTAAAGAAAAAAAAATCTTCATTACCAAGCAGACAAATGTTTGCAGAGTGAAAAAAAAATCATATTTTATCAACTTAGCTACATCATTTTCGTTATGAATTTTACAAATATGGCGAAGGCGTCATTGCTAATAATCATTATGCAAAAAAGAGATGAGACTTATGATATGAGGCAAAAATTGTTCTCATCCCAATGCTAAACAATGAATGTGATCACCACGTTTCCTGCTTTAGGATGTAGGCCACAGGATGTGGCTAACATATTAAGAAAAACTACTTAATTTTTGATTTACTGAAGTTTGAATTATGTCCATTGCTACCAATATTTATTAGGGATGTCAACGAGTACCCGGTTAACCGGGTACTCGATCGAACGTCCGAGTATCGAATACTAAAATCGCTACTCGGTTACTCGGATGTATATTATTTTTTTCATATTTCAAAGAACAAAGTATATATTTTTTTAAATCAAAAACTTATAAAAATGAATTGTCCATGTTTCCTTGTAATTAGCGTCACCCACACCTGTTAATACAAGTTGTTGTCTGTGGCCTGCACTTGTATGAACAATAATTATCACCTGGTACACAGCTGTTATCACCTCTTGTGATCTGTTATTTTTTGGATGGCTTTAATGATTAGTATTTAATGAACATTGTTTGATTAGGGTTTATTATCCTAAAATAATTTAGTTCAGTCGCATACGGTAGCGAATTCGGACATACAAAGAAATGCCGCTACCACTTCAAAAGTGAGAAAAATATTAGGAAAGAACTAAAGATTTAAAAAATGTTTAGAATTAGCTGTGCAAAGTAAACATAGTGTATATGGGGAAAACAACCAACATAAACTATTAATTAAATAATATACTGTACGTCTAGCGATCTCGACACCGTCTCTTTTTCCTTAATCTTTTGTGTTTATTTGATAAAAAAAATTTAGTGAAAAAAAATCATTTTCGTTTTGCTCGATGTTTATGTACAGGCATAGAAAACATTAAAAAAAACATCGATGGGGTTAAACAGGGCTTAACTGGTCTCAATGAAATGAACACATTTGTATTTTACAATTTTACCGAGTACCCGGGTACTCGATCGGAAAATCATCCGAGTAACCGATTATCAAATATTGACCGATTTGACATCCCTAATATTTATTTAACTTTTTCAGCAGGTGAAAAGATGAAGAAGGCAAATAATGAATCCTCGCTGACCAACAATAGAAAGAAAGATACGGAAACCTCAAAATACCCCCAGTATGTAGTTGTCATCTTAACCCAATTATGATGCCACTATCTGATAAGTACCAACAGAATTCGAATATTTTATATATATATATATATATATATATATATATATATATATATATATATATATATATATATATATATATGTATATATATATATATATATATATATATATATAGAAAGCACAAAAAAATTCACTTTTACAAGGATACCCACTTCCGCCCGAGCTCTTCCGCCCCAGCCCGGGGTTGAACTCTCGACATACGGAATCTGTCTCCTAGCAGTACAGGAACAGCGCGCTAGAGGTATCACACCGGTAATTGTTTTCACTATGTAATTCTATATAGAATAAAAAATCATTAAAAATCAGGTATTCGTATTCATGAAAAAATATTTCGCAGGAAGTGTTAAACGTTACCAGTCACATCAGCTGACACCAAAAAATAGGGTACCTACACGGCATTTTCTGATTTTTTCCATCCGCAAACAGGAATACCCTCAAAACCACGTGTATTCAATGTGTTTATAAACATCCTGTGTGCTCCCCAGGAAGTGGCCTCCTATGCCCCGAAAGAAATAGTTCCTGTCAAAAACCTTTAATATTTTACAAAGTACATAAAATATCCTAAGCACAGATACCAAAAATGTAAAAATAGAATAAGGGAAATTAAAAAAATTTCTCACAATAAAAAAATATTTCTTTATTATGTATGGAACTACAATTGAGTTCATTTTGATTGGTCAATTACCGGTGTGATACCTAGACCGCTCGGCTATCTAGGCAAGTCAAAAAAACTTGCATTTGATGCCGATGGAATTCTCGTGGCACTGCTCTACACTACACGGTCATTGGAAATGGAAGTGAGATACAGTTATTTGGACATTAGTTTTATTAGAGGATCGTTACCTATACACCTATTAATTTCATTACATAGTGTATAGGTAACGATCCTCTAATAAAACTATTTAATGTCCAAATAACTGTATTTATTTATTTATTTATTTATTGGATGAAATTAGTTTTTTTTTCTTTATGAAAAATGTTCTTATATTCTTTATTGATGTAAATTGTCACTAGATGGCAAGTGTGTGGATTTTATCGATTTCCACTGAAGCCTTCATATATATATATAATTTTTTAACATATCAAAGAATGAAAAATTTAACATATTGCTATTTCAAATTAATTATGTTTTGATTTTTGTTATGATATTTAAAACCTTGTCAATGTTTATGTTTAATAACATTCAGCTGTAGATACTGAAATATAACTTTAACTTTGATTTCTTGTTCAATGCTGTATATCTTATGATAAATTTTATTGGTTAATCAGATACCCACTTTTTTGGAAACGAGAAGTTATTATTTATTTTCAAATGTATTTCAGAAAACATTTGCCAACCGTTCCATTTCGAGATTATCCCAAAACTGCTACAGATGGTGAATATTTAACTATTAGCACATCCTTAAATGTACACTTTGCTCCTATCAACAAAATGGTTGCTAATTCTACAAGCTTGGTGTCTTTGCTTGTCTGTTAGTCCTTAAGAATTACTTATTCTTTTGCAAGCGACCATTATTACTTTGTTATTGTCTTTTATTTGATTTTTTTCCCATGTTTTTCACTGATTTACAATTTTTAATAATCAAAAAATACATTCACATACTTAAGCAAAAGAAGTAGTTTTCACTTAAAGCTATTCAAAATAACTATTTTGAATCAAAACAAGTAGCACTATCTCAATAACTTTCAATTGCTTTTATTCACCAAAGAAAATCATTTCTTCATTATTTTAGTTGACGGAAGAATGACGCGAAGAAAGAGTGAGTCGTTTATGGACAATGCTGGAAAGAAAAAGCCAGAGATAATCGACAAAAGTCCGCGGTATAAAACTGATCTTTCTATGTTGAGTAATAAAATACCAGAAACTTCTATGTGACATAAAACTGAATTATATTAGGAAAAAAAAGAGGGGACGGAGGTATTTCCAGTACATGAAATTATGCTTAGATAATTGTCCAGATCAATGGTCTTTTGTTTTTCTGACAGCAAAGCGTTTTTACTGCACTTCTCTGCTACTACTGCTGTTTATAAGGAATACTTTGAACAAAGAACAATATTCAAATGTACGAGGGTTATTAAAAAATATGTAGACTTTGGTAATAGCTTTTTTTTATTAATGGTCATATTGAATCCAAATTTGGTAGACATATTTTAATGATAAATCGGAATATTTCTTGATAAATTAAAAAAAGAACTGCGAAAATGGAGTCATGGAGCACGTCAAAATATAGTAACTTGCTATAAAAACACCATATAATATATATTGTCATGTCTTTTTAAAAAATGGCACCAAAACGAAGCATTGAAACTAACTTAAGTTACATCATTGCACATGCAAAATTGCGACTCTAAATATTGCGTCGTTAAGCAGATATCAATTGCAGAAGGCAGGTAGTCCAAAGGGCAAAAATAGATGTCACAGGAACTCGGGGAGCAGCGAGTAGTAATACAAATTTGTGATGTACTCAGGTAAATTGTAAAGAGGAAACCTCTGAAAAAATGCTGAAAAAAGCAAGAAATTTATCGAAAGTGAGCCTCGCATGTGTGTATAAATGAAATGGCATTTTTTGAGTGGAAGAGGCTGTACGGGACAATGGACAGTCTGAGAGGAAACGGATAATCAGTAGAAATCTGGTCAAAAGAGTTAGTGACGACAGGGAACGCGATGGGTACACTAAATTGTGGAACTTGTGAAAGCACAGTTTCGCGGTAAATCAAATTATTACGACTAACTCATGATTCTGGAACAATAACTTTTTAATGAATAGCTTATGCGCTTAAGACCCTGTTTGACATGTAAAGGGGAGTATTTTTGATTAAATGTTATGAGTTATAATGTTGTCTTGAGTGCTCCTTGATTACAAACCGTGTTGTTTTTAACTTTGAGTAATGTGAGTTCGGTTTGATGAAATGGAATCGACCAAAAAAAATGTTTTTACATTTGTTCACGTGTAATTCTTGAATTTATGAAAAAATATATGACAAAGAGCGACATTGTCAACGCATGTTTTTGAAAGATCCTCATATTAACTTGGTTGATGTATCGGGTATTTAATCCCTACCTGGATTTGATTTTTGTCTTCACGAAAATAATCATAAGGAGTCGTTACTTTAGAAAATTAATCCTAACGAGTCAATCTTTTAACTTCATTGAGAATTTTATCCTCCAAGATAAAAAAAAATGTAATATTCGAAATAAAATAAATTATTTTATTTCAATTTTTTCTCCACAAATACCCAAATATATCATACATGGAGGTATAAAATTAGATTTAATAAATGACGATTGGTGTTACTAACAGTGAAGTACTTGATGCTGTTACCTGTAGAGGGGAATAAACTGTTCGGGACAATGATGCTTTTTTTTAAAATCTGAATTAAAAAATGCTTTATTCGACATGATTAGATTGGATATAAGTTATTCCAATTTAGATTTATTTCCTCAAATGATTGATTTCTTTTCAATGTATTCCAGAGAACAACCGAGAGTACAGTCAGCTGGACTTAACCTTTATGATGACGTTCCCAACGAAAAATCAGATGAAAAGAAAACGGTCACTGTATCAACTGGTAAAATTTGAAATACGCCTATCTTATGCATTCACTTGTGAACATATCATTCACGTATTGTACCCGACCTTTTAAAGTTTCCTAACATTTTCTATAACCCTTCGGGCATATTCAAGCAAGCTTTCCTGAAAGCATCTTTTAAAAAAGAAAATTCACGACAAAACGAAAGAAATAAACTACTTCCAAAGATAAGATGAAAATAATTTGATTAAATTTGGAACATGTGCTTATCGATTTCTAATAGAGAAATTTGTCTCGAGTATTATTCGAATTATGACTCTTTGTAACAATTTTACAATGAGTTGTACCAGTGATGGAGACAAATTGCTACAATGTCAATTTTTTTTTAATTTTAATTTCGCTCGATATACTAGTATACATATTAGTTCCTATTTTGCTTCTATAGTCCTTACGTTAAAATGTGAATGGATACTCAGTCATGAAAGTCGGCAAGAATTTACATAATATCTATCATAGCAAAAAAAGCAACCCTTTAAAATTGCATACAAGTATGAATGGTTTTGATTTTTTTCAAACACGATACTTGATTTACAAATTTTAATTGAGAAATACCATCAGATGTTTAAACTAAAGCAGTTTATTTTTTCTAGATAATTTTTTTAATCATTCATGACAAGTAAAATACTTTTAAATACTTTTAATTGCTTGTGTCAACCAAATAAAATAATTTTGGATTAGAGATTGCAGTCTGTTTTTCAGTAGATGAAAGAATGACGAGATCAAAGGGTCAGTCATCTATAGACAATGCTGGGCAGGAAAAGCTAGAGACAACAGTCAAAAGTCCGAGGTATGAAACTTATCCTTTATGTGTTAAATATTGTAAATTCTTTCCAAAAAATTTTAACAGTTCATTTTAAAAATGTAATTGAGAGTATATAAAGATTAACTTTAAGGTAATATGATAAACTTTATCTGTCTTTTCATTTTCATGTTTGTCAAGATGAATTGTACAAGGTTATTTTTTTATAAGGTACTAAACCTCACGGAACAAATTAAACTTGAGCAATTTAGATGAAAGGGGATGTGCTCTTGTTGTTTATTATTTTGCTTCGAACAAGCTAAAAGTGTATAATGAGTCTTGAGATAAGATTTTTATTTGGACCATGCGTTTGAGCTGAGAAGTATCAAAATTTTTTTCATGACATAAACTTGGTTTATACGGGGGAAAAGTTATTTTAAATGAAATCGCACGAAGTTTACTTTCTTTTTTTTAAGAAAATGAACTAATTTTTCATTTGTTATATAGACGTTATTTACCGGTATTGAAAATAATCAATTGGATTGACAATTATTCCAACTTACAATTTTCTTCTCCAAACTTCATTTGATAAAATAATTGATTAACATTGTATTTTTTTTCAAAGTGAAAAAATTAAGTCCATTAAAAAAAGACTAAATAATTCAAGTTATTTCAGAGAACAACTGGGAGTACAGCTAGCTGAACTTCACCTTTATGATGACGTTCCCACCGAAAATACAAACGAAAAGAAAACGGTCACTTTAATAAACGGTAAGAATTTTGAAATAAGCTCATCTTTTGTGAAAAATTATCTCACGCATATTTTTTTTATTTTTCCTCAACATAATATTTAATTGGATTTAAATTATTGTTAAGTGATAATATTGACTCTATTATATGAACATTTGTAATTTGTCATGGTTTCGTCTGTCTAAGCTTTTAAACACTTTTCACTTCCAAGATTCCATGGCTAATTTCAACCAAGCTTATCTGAAAAAAGGTTATATCAAAATATTTATATTCGAAAAAGGAAGGAAATTAACTCCTTTCATAAGGAAATTATTTTTTAAAAAAATTGAATAACTTTGACCTTGTGTGTAGTATTATACACTATTTTGACTTAGGATTGCTCCGTTTACCTGATCAATACAGAGGGTAGGAGTGACCGGTCGATCGTGGATGCTTTCTTCTCCTTAGCACCTGATCCCATCTCTGGTGTTTCCAGGGCCCTGTTCACGATTCGTTTTCTTAAATGGACTTATAAGATTGATGACTGCATATTCATTATCTGGAACTGCTTATCACTTTCTAGAAATGGATTTTTTCAGGCATCATGACTCTTTGTTGCAAACAGAATTTTAAGAAAAAATTTGTGTCAATGATGGCAATACACCATTACATTGTTAGATTTGTTATAACTGACCTTTTAAATTTGGCTAGATATGTGTGTCAGTTTAAAAAAAATACTTTCAGATTTGGGGGGGGGGGGGGGTATTTCCTTAATAATTCAATTATTATTATTTTTTAATCATTTTTTTTTATTTTTCCTTCATTATGACCGGGTCGCCCGCGTGGCGCAGTGGTTAGAGCGTCTGCTCTAGAGTCGCGGAGTAAGGAGTTGATCTTTACGTCGCGGGTTCGAATCCCACTCTGGGACGTGGAGACCGGTCCTTCGGATGAAACCATATAAACCGCGTCAAAGTGTATTTTAATGTTTCCTTTTTTCATACAGTAACTGAATTGTAAATTTTAACTGAATATTAAATTTGCTTAGTATGAAGCAGTTGTTCCTACTGGAAGCTTTTCTAGAGTTTTTTTAATAATTACAAGTATGGATATTGCAACTAAATATAATAGCCATTGCTGACCAAATAAAATGTTTTTGTAATAAAAGTAGGTATTTTAAATTATTATTTTAGTTGAAGAAAGAATGACAAGAACAAGGAGTGAGTCGTCTATGGACAATGCTGGAAAGAAAAAGCTAGGGAAAACTGACAAAATTCCGCGGTATGAAACTAAACTTTCCTAACTAAAATCAATCTTCAAAGCTGTAATTAGATTTAAAAATAACTGAAACTAAAATTCAACTATAGCAAAAAGATCAAGAGAGGAGGGGAGGGTAAATTCATAGCTCTAGATGTTGATTACTTTGCATCGAATAAACAATTTAAAATGTTTGCATGGTTCTAGAGAACCATGAGTTGACATTAATCTGGTGTATATGGGGGGTAATGAAATTTTACTTTGTGACAGTAAAACTAATGGGCTTTTGATTTTGCTAGAAATTTAACTAATCAATTGAAAATCAAATGTGCTTACGTGAATGACACTTATTGTTTGGCTTTTTAATCCCTGCCAGAATTTCACCTCTTTTTCATCACGAAAATGATCATAAGGAGTCGATCCTTTGAAATCATTTTCAAAATCTATTCTCCAAAATAGAAAAAAATAATAATATTCTAAACAAAATCATATAACTGTAATAATTTCTCTTCACAGATACCAAAAGTTCTTCCATTTTAAAATTTTCTTTTAAACTTACGTATATCATCAGATAACATTGTTTTCAAAGTGAGGAAATTAAGTCAGTATAAAAAGATCCATATAATTCAATTATATTTCAGAGAACGAACGAGAGTACAGTCAGCTGAACTTTACCTTTATGATGACGTTCCCAACGAAAACAAAACGGTCACTGAAACAACTGGTAAGAATTTTGAAATAGCTCATCTTCTGTGAATTACTATATAATTAATCTCACATATATTTTGTTTAAATTGATTTTAAAAGTGTTGTTATTTCTAATAGCGATAACAGTTCAAATGTGATTGACAAAATCAACTAATTTCTGTGGACAAAGTTTACATGCAAGTTTAATTGAAATTAACCCGAGGATTCTAGAAAATAAGAGAAATATTTAAAAGCTAGGCACAATGCATGCATGATGACGAGTTTTAAATTTTCATGTGAACATATGAAACTCGTCATCATGCATTGTGCATAAGCCTTTAAATATTTCTCACTTTTGTAGAACCCTTGGGTTAATTTCGACTAAACTTACAAGAAATCATCTCTAGATAAAGAATGTTCGACAAAACGAAATAATAAAATTTCTTCTTAAGGAAAAAAATAAAATTAAAAAATACAATAGTTCAAAATTTCATACAGCAGCGTATATTAAACTTTAAAAAACAATTCACAAAATTTTGTAATTAAACAGAATTATTTAGTATGTGTTTACATATTTATAACAACTGTGGCCTGAAGGTTAGGGATGTGACTAAAGTAATCGATGATTATAAAAAGATATGTAATAATTAAGTTGAAACATCTCAGAAGAAGCATTGTATTGCCATGTCATTGTCATTTTGCAAGTATCTTACTAGTACATTTAAACTTAATTCAGATCACTGGTATAGGACACAGGATCAAAGTTTTAAATACATGTCAAAAACATTAATCTCAAAGTTTTATATGGAGGCATTCTAAATTTGTTGAATTCAAAATATGATTCAAACCAAGGCTCTTGTAACTGGATGGGTTCACATTGAAGAGTTCCAAAACCTACACATTTATAAATGGAACAGAATCTAGAGCATGTGCCTCCAAAATAATAATGATGCTTGACTTACTGCAAAGAATTGGTATCTTGTTGAACAAAAACCTTGTCAGTTATAATCATTTACACTTACTTATTGTGTATGTATATTTATTTCGTTGTTTGAGTGTATGCCATTTAATTTGGCATTGATAAACTTTTTTCTGCTCAAGTTGGTAGTGTTGTTACATTAATTATTTTTTTAAATTAAATGTTCATCTTCTAATGGGCTCTGGGGAAAGTATATTTCATCTTTAAATGATGTTTCAATATCAGTGAAATATCCTAGCATGAATATTAAACTCCTCACAATTAGTCAATCGTTTGAAAATGAACTGCATGTCCAGTCAAAGAACTTTTCATAAATGTAAAGATATACATTACCAGGCCTTTGAAAACCATCTTTTCTAATGGACATTAAGATTACAAACTTTTTTGCATAATTACAATGAGTACTTAACCCTTTACCAAAATTGTGAAACTTACTCCCGGAGTCATGGGTCAGGCCTTAGAATGGGGTTCAGTTATATATTAAAAGTACATTACATCTTTGAATAACTTCTTTTCTACTCATGAACATTTAGTCGGCTAACTATTTCCATGATTATAATACACACTTAGTCCTATTCTAAAATTGTGAAATTCTTGGCCCCTGGGCCCATGGTATAGGCTCAAGGGTGGAGTATGTCGGTCATATCATCAAGGCCCATGAGCCTTTTGTTTTATTTTACTGTAAAGTATGTATTTTTCTTCTTACTACTTTATAGATGATCAAAGGAATTCGAATACTACTGTTGGAAGCTCAGAGCATATTTTAAAGAGATCTAATGAAACCACAAAACAAGAGAGATGCCGGGCTGCTAAATACGAAAGCTACAAAGAGGCTGCAGATCTTTATGTGGAACGCCTTTGATACTTCGTTTGTGTTTTCATTGTTTTGATTTCATCATTTTAATGTCCACTGGTCGGTAGACAAAAAAAAACCTACATATTGTTCTGCACTATAGTTTCGTCTGTCTATTTCTTTGTCTTTCAGCAATGTATTCAACGTTCTCATTTCAGTTAGGACTGGTACAATGCAAATATTGCAAAAAGATGAATGCATGCAATTCTGATTATACATTGTATATATATAATTATTTTTAGTTAAAGTTGCTTCTCTGTAATACAGTTTTGATCAATTTATTTCAAAATGCTTTATAGTTGCTACTATTCTCTCTCTCTCTCTCTCTCTCTCTCTCTCTCTCTCTCTCTCTCTTCCGAATAAATTAAGAAATATCTTTTTAGATCCAAGTATAAATATCTTTTCCTTACGACCAGACCAGTGTATACATGTAATTGTATTCTTATTAGCTTCTGGCCTAGACTTCGTCTGATATCCAATCACAGATACAAGATTTAAGTTCTTGCTTAAACATAATTTTTCTTTAACAGGTGTTTATAAATTTTTAATTTGTATACTTAAACAAAACATTAACCTATTTTATAAACTTTTTTTAAGAATATCACTTTGACAGAATTAACAATTATAGATGTAATAATTGAATTCATTTATCAAAGAGTCCTCATGTTCATTAAAATTCTAAGGCGATGAAACGATATGAGAACATGTTTTATTTTCATGTACCATTTCGAGAATGTGGGTTCATTATTTATGAACACACATTGACAGAGATATTTTAAAAGCACCTTAATTTTTGATGATGGTTCGATAATCAATTGCATCAAATTATCGATTACAGAAAATAATTAGGTAAAATTTCTGCATGGTCACGAATTTAGAGCTTTAAAGTACTACATCCATTATTTTGAGATATTTTTTTTATCGGAAGCGGCGCAAAATTTATGAGCAGTCACTATTACAGATAATTACAATTGTATTTTAGAGAAGAATTTCATTCTTATCCAGCTTTTCCCTTGGAATTTATACTTTTCACAGGGAAAATCTCACACTATAGCCAAATTTCCAGTTGATAAGGTGGAAAAGCTTCTCTACAAGCTCTTTAGAGATAATTGGGTTGATACTAAAATTTCAGCATAGCACCGAAAGTTAGGTAAATCATTTTTAACAATATAATTCATTATCAATATGACTTACACTACTTAATATAAAAATACAAAATATGAAAGTATTTATTTTATTCTACAATGCCTAGATTTATGATTGTGTCAACATAACATATACTTGATTTAATACTGAGTTTTTTTTAGTCCATACAGTATATTTGACCTGTGGATTTTCTCATTGATTTGAAGTAGATTTAATAAATATTTATTTAAAAAAAAAAACGTTTGACTTTTCACAAATGATAGGTTTCACCTTGGCAAGAATTTCCATATTTCATTTTCAGAGATGATATTAGGTCTAAATTATAAATGATGGTGGTGAAAAAGATTATATGAAACCATACCCAAACTCGATCTTTTGCTTACACTAATGTAGACGTAAATATGCCATGGACATTTTATTTTCTGTAACCACATAAAATGTACCGATAAACAGTGATCATGCTCAAAATGTTAATGAACAGAAACTGAGTTTCAGTGGGATGTATTGAATGAAAGTATGAATGAAAATGATAAAAGGTCATTGATACTTCTAGATGTCGAAAAGAAAGACTTGACCAGAGACTTTTTTTCGCGTAGAATTTATTTAATAAATTTGGTTGGTTAGCTGGACAGCTTTTGACGTTATCTTAAAAGTATCACATATTGTCTATAGTGACAAAATTTGTAATCTCAAGAAACTCTTTACTTAATATTAGAATATCAAAACCATACCCCGTAGTATAATACTCTGCATAGATTTACATATTTTTTTTCTTATCTTATGTTCAAGTTTCCTTTTAACGAGGAAAGTCTTTTTTTTTATTGTTTCAATTACATATTTATTTCCTCTACTCTTTGAAAAAAAAGCTTTATCAATTATTTATTTATTTATTAATGATTGAAAACTTGACGGATTTAGCTTTTTTACTGATTTTTAATTTCCGGGAAGTGGTTCTTTTTGTCATGTGTACATAAAAAGTTTCTTGATTGTTTCCTATTTTTGTCGAAAACTGTCTTTCAGACATTCTTTAAAATATTCTTTACTGATAAAATTTAATTGTAATTAGGTGATTGATGGAAACAAGGTTCTGTTTAAAATGATACTGTGTGGTTTTCTACTTTATGGTTCATTTTTCTGAATGAAGTTTCTGTAAAAAAAAAAAAAGAGCATTAAACGTTCGGCAAATCTTAAGTTAGACAAAAGGATAACAAAAAATATTTTCTTATAGCTAAAATATGTTAGTTTGAAATATATAAAAGAACAATAATAATATTTTGTCCATTGCTGTAATATATTAGTTGTCGACTACACAAACTGCAAGACTATATAATGAATAGTCATTGCAACATAATACTTAGAAATTTGCTATCTACTTTGCTTTACGATCCATTAGTGTTTGGCGCTATAGTAATGTTTAAATTAACCCACACTTTCAACAAAAGGTCGTCCCTAGAATTTATTTTGAAACGTCTTGCCAGGAAAGTGAAAGGTCTCTCGGAAAATATCGAACTTTTATGGTTCTGTGGGCGTTAATTCCGGATATTTTACAATGGTTAAAGAGGAAAATATTCTTTGTTGCGCAACTTTATGAATACAAAATATTTGGCAACAGAACCCATTTTGGCAAAGTTTTTGAAGGGGTGGCGATGTTTTTTCAATATCTGAGCTTACTGTTGATGGGTGCTTCCTTCGTGTATGCTGATGGGGAGAGCAAAAAAGTGTCAGGTAAAGTGATAAAAACATATTTTGTGCATTTCAAAAATTACATAGAGAAAAATTGTTGTTTAAATAAATGCAATTTTTTTTATGCATTCTACATTAAAAACATAAAGAAAAAAGTTCTTGTTTACAGTTGCCATTTATCTCGATGGAATATAATTTTCTTTCAGATGGGTTGCACTTTCACAAACCAGAGCAGTCATTTTTTAATGGTTTTGGCTATAAATATACCATGTTGGCTCTAACAAGTTTTGCAGTTGTACTTATGGTAATAACATTGGCCTGCGTTATTAGTCGAAACTCCAACAGAGGTAAGATTGGGGATTATAAAATTATAATATTTTGAGACGATTAAGCGAAGATTTTATTACACCTACCAAGAGCACAATATTGACTACGAGTAGAACGAATGTCCTGTGATTATTGAACCAACATACTGTGCTCTTGGTTGGTGCAATAAAATACAAGTTATGAATTGACCGATATCAATGTGCTTCAATTGCTTTATCATTATTTCCTAATAGTAATCTAATCACAATCTTAAGGTCAATGAAAATTTTCTAATTTTATTTCTACTGTGAATATGACAAATCTGTATTAATCGTAAACTTGTATTTAACTTTAAATCAACTTTTATTGAAATATTTCATTTAAAGCAAAATAACCATAATTACTTTGATTAATATAGGATACAAAATACGTTGTTTACTCGTACAGAAAGCAATCAGTTCGTTTGTCAATATTTTTGGAAACACAAGTTAACGAATGTTGTATGTAATGTTTTGAAAGGGAAAAATTATGTGAACACAAAGGACAAAGAACAAGGATCGTCAGAAGTAGATTCTGATAGAAGAGAAGCCATCTAAAGTAGACACCAGTATCAAAGAGAAGAAAGATAATAAAAAAGCCACAGAGGACCCAAGGTAAGGCATAATGATAGTGCAATCTAAAGAGAGAGAGAGAGAGAGATTTTTTTTATTTTTGAAATGGTTTAAAATACTAGTAACGTAATCTGTAGCATTTAAATTTCGTATTATATACTCAAGATTTAATCATATTCTTAATATTATATAAATGTATATCCACTGAATAATTTTTGATTATCTTGCATGTTGACATAAATAAGTCGCATGTCTGCATAATTATATCAACATAATTCTGTTGCATCTTGCTTGTATGTTGTCGAATACCGGCTTTAGTAAGTATGTTTACTATTGTCGGATATTTCTGCCGCCCACAAGCAAGATAAATCATGTTAACATGCGAGAAAAGTATGTCAACATGCAAGATAATTATGTCTACTTACATAACAATGATGTTAATATGCAAGTTACAAATCTTTTTAGAGAATCTAATTATAATGTTAGTTAAATTACTTATTTACTCCATTATATGACATCATACAAGCAAGAAGCAACAGACTTATTTTGACTTTCGACTTTATGTTCTCGTGCAAAATAATTATGTTAACATACAAGATATTTCCATCAACATGCGACTTATTTATGTCAAAATACGACTTATTTATGTCAACATTAAACTTACTTACGTCAAAATGCGAACTTACTTATGTCAACGTGCAAGTTTATGGTGGCATATTTCTACGGAAGCGTAAAGGTCTCTACTTTTGTTGTGTTATATTTTTGAATATTGTCTTACTTCTAATTGTCTTATCAATATGTTATCTGTAATGATTTCTTATTTTCATTTATATGTTGCATTGTATCTGGGTATTTTCACATAATTTAAAGCGTCTTTTCTGTATGATGGATTTTATTGCTAAAAGTTATATCGACTTAAAAAAATATTGATTTGAAAAATATTGACTTAAGCATGAATATTAAAGATATCGATGTAGATATCTCGACACACAACAATAAAAATAAATGCATAATAGTTAAATTACTATAAATATGCTAGTTTTTCTTTGAGAAAAGTTTGAAAATATTGTTCTCCAACTAATTTCGCGGGCGCGGGAATTCTAATGAAACGTCAAATCAGATTAATTGATGGCACATACACAATGTGCCATGTGTAAAGTGTCAAATATTTGTTGTATGATTATAGAGAAAAATGAATTGAAGAAGGGAGGGGGGGGGGCATGATCAGTTAGATTGTACCCATTGAAGCAATAATCAATTGACATTATTCTAATTGATAAGAAATTTAATAACTATGCAAGTCAAGTAATAATTTTTATTAGTAGTAACAGTATTTTTCTTTTGAATAAAATTCATCAATCTTTCTTTGAAATAAAAATTATGTGCTTACAAAGTTTGCAGAATTTCAGAATTCAA